ACACAGTGCTCTTGTCAACTCAAAACTCTCTACTTTGGAATATTCTGTGTGAGGTAGAGAAGGAGGGGGATGGCAGGGATAAGAAAAGAGCCTTTGCCTCTGAGAGACCACAATGGGGGAAGGGCTAGACTGATGTCCCCATGTCAGGGCAAACCAGTCCCCAGTGTGAGAAAGGCTGGGGAGATAAAGGTGGGCTCAACACAGAACTCCCCTGGCAGAACTGTGCAAAGCAGGGCAAACTGCTCATAGTACTGCTTCTTAGGGGCAGTGTGCAGGCTGAGTCTTGGGGACCAGCCACCAGAGGCAGGGCCAGGTCAGCAGCCAGATCTTCTCCAATCCTGAACTCCTACAGTGACAATTGCAATAGCCAAATGGAGGGCTCATATCACTCTAAGGAGGATTTGTTGGGGTTGAGGATGTAGCTAAACCATAGGGTATATGCTCAGGACACGTGAGGCCCTGGTTCAATCTCCAGCACCAAAAAGAGGGGGAAAAGGTATTTTTTTTATTTCCACTTTGCAGATGAGAAAACTGAGGTGATGCTGGACAGTTTAGCAATGTGCTCAAGTTCACACAGCTGATAAACAATCACTTTGCTATGCCTGTTTTTATCTAAGCCTGCTTTTACGCTTCTGGGGATCTATAGTTCTGGCTAGGAGGCCCGTGGGAAGGGGAGCCTATTCCTAGAGGATCTGATATTTTATTCTAGGGCTGCAGTCAGTAGTCATGAGATTTGTACAGGGATACACAGAGCTTGCCCTCTTAAAAAGCAGATTAGGAAACTTGTCTTTGTACACTTAAACTCACCGGCCACAGCCCCTGAAAAACTTCCCTAAAGGAAGTCTAAAAACAGCTCTGATGGACACTCCCAAGAAATTACAGACTGAGGGTTTTTTAAGAGACTGGCACTAATTAAAGGAGAATGACACAGAGAGGGTGGTGACCTGAGCAACCGTTCCCTTCCCACATGGCACAATCCTCCAGGTTCCATTTTAATAATCACCCAAGGTGAAGGTTTTTCAGCCTTCAAATGGCCTAACCATTTTCCTTCTATTCAAATGGTGGAATCACCATTATGAAAACTTAGGCACACGATGATCTTACTTCATTCAGTAGTCATGGTAGCTACTATTAAGATCTCATTTACAGATGAGAAAACTGAGTTTTACAAAAGAAATGGTGCCTTTCCTAAGGTCACAGCTATCAAGTAGCAGGGCAGTGATTTGAATCTAGGTTTGCTGAAGTTCAGAACTTGGCTGTGGGTAGAAGCCCAGTTTATAAAACTGAATCGAAGCTGAGTGTGGTGGTGGACACCTACCCTCCCAGCAGTAGAGAGGCTAACTCAGGATTGGAAGTTAAAGGCCAGCCTCAGCTACATACCAAGACCCTGTCTCAAAAACCACATGCACACATACACACACACAAACACACATGAAAAAAAAAACCAACTAGACAAAAATGAGTACATAGTCTGATTGCATTTATACAAAAGTTTTGAAAATGCTAAGTAATCACTAGTGACAGAAAGCAGGCCAGTGGTTGCTGGGAACTGGGCGGGCAACTGTCAGGAGACAAAAGAAAGCTTTTTGTGGTGATAAATAGATCATTACTGTATATTGATTGTTGTGATGGGTTCTTGAGTGCATGTTTAAAATACACATTATGGAGGCAGAGGGAGGGGAAGAGAAAAAAGATATACATTATGTCTTAAAAATTATACATTTTAGCTGGGGCCAGTGGCTCACGCCTGTAATCCTAGCTACTCAGGAGGCAGAGATCAGGAGGATTACGGTTCAAAGCCAGCCGGGGCAAATAGTTTGAGAGATCCTATCTCGAAAATACCCATCAGAAAAAAGGGCTGGTGGAGTGGCTCAAGGTGAAGGCTTTGAGTTCAAGCCCCAGTACTTCAAAAAAAAAAAAAATACAATTTAAATATGTGCAGTGTTTTGAAAGAAGTTATATCTCAAAAAAAGCTGTTAGAGAAATAAGAGAGAGCCAGGTGCCAGTGGCCTATAATTCCAGCTACTTGGGAGCAGAGATCAGGAGGATCATGGTTGAAGGCCAGCCTAGGCAAATATGTCATGAGACCCCCCCTATCTCCAAAATAACCAGAGCAAAATGGATTGGAGGTGTGGCTCAAGAGGAAGAGCACCTGCTTTGCAAGTGTGAAGCCCTGAGTTCAAATCCCAGGTCCGCCAAAAATAAAAAAATTAAACCCCTTAAAACTCAAAGACTTGCTTGAGCTTACTCTGCATGATGGAGAGCTGGGCCAGGCCAGACTCCCTCAGGACTCCATACCACTGTGAGAAGTACAGCATCCCTGGAGTCCAGCCCCTAAAGAGCAGGGCAGGGTGGGGGCAGCTTCACTACAGTCTGCTGACTCTGGTACTGGACAAGGCTTTGGTCCCAGGGTACATGGGTAGGCAAACAAAGGCCAAGCTGTGGGGGTGCTTTGTTCACCAGGCCCAGAAAACATGGACCGTTACTGGGAACTACTCAGGCTACTGAACTCACAAGCAGGGATCTGACAGAAATATAAACTGCTGGGGATATAGCTCAGTGGTACAGCGCTTGCCTATAATGTGCAAGGCCCTGGGTTTGACTCTAGCATGGAGGTGGGGATGAAAACATGAACCTATGAAAAAGGTTAAACCAGTATCTTCTCTGGAAGACTAACTCAGTAAACACTTATTGATCCCTACCATGTGTCAGGAGCTGTCACAGTCCACTATCTCACGGAGACCAAGTAAGGCTGGAGTGAGAGGTTCAATGGCAGAATGTACTAAACAGGCTCCCCGAGGGGCAGGTGTTACTCATCCATCAACTGTTCCCTAAGCGCTTGTACACACTGGCCTGCTCCTTGAGGACGGGAAAGACACTGGACGGAAAGCTTTGCCACAACACTAAAACATGTGGGATAAAGTTGAAGACCAAGAGCAGAAATGAATGCCTTGCAGATGCGGACAGGGTTTCTGGAGGCTGTGGTATGCCAGGGAGGAAGGAATTTGTGGATGGAGGTGAGGAGGTGGTAGGAGGCTGGAGAGATCATTTCATTGACAGGCGGCAGAATAGCAAAAGCAAGACATCTGGGAATGCACTGGGGAGTGTCTGGCTGCAAGGAGAAGTGGGGAAGCCTGGAGCAGTGGCCAGGCCAGGGGCTGGGCGACATGAATAATGTCCTGGCACACTGCTCCCACCCTATCAGCACTCTGCTGTGTGATCTCATTTGCCCCATGGATATCCATGGAGCTCCTGACAGAAGTGAAGTCTTCCCAGCCCTTTTGGGGCTTTGCAGAAGAGAACTGAGCCTTCAGTTGGGCACTCAGATTCCAGCCTGGGCAGGAATTGGGCTGATATGAGGCAAAGGAAATGAACAACCCCCACTCCACCGAGGACCACTCCCTTTAAAAGGCATCCACGTCTCAAGACTTGGGCTTCCCAATGGACCAGCCAGCCTGAACCACGTCTCTTGGGAAAACTGAAAATGGAAAAAAAAATCTTAAAGTTTGACCTCAGAACCCACAGAAACTTCTCTGTGGATAGCCAAAATCAAACCACACTGCCATCTAGTGGCCAATAAACCCATATACCACAAGGAAGAAGTCCCTGTGCCCCCAAGGGACCACAAAGGCAAAAGTGGATCTGAGACTTGTTTAGTAGTTTCAAAACAAGACCAAAATTATGCCAGAACACCAGTTTAGAGTGAAAATAATGTCTTATTCTACCTACCAAGTTCCCTGAGGTGCAGGTATTATGCATTGTGTGATGAAGAGACAGCCTCCGGGAGAGATCAGGTGACTAGTCCAAGGTCACAGCTGGCCAAATGCAGAGCTGGGTCTTATCCCAGGTCCATCAGCATTGGGTCTCCAGTAGTAGTTAGAACAGTCATTTTCATTGTATGGTTCCCAAAACCCTTCTAGAAGGTACACCTGATAAAAACTATTTCTGTAAGATACTTTCCTCTTTCTCATAACAGTTGCACGGTAAAGCTGTCCAGTGTCTAAACAACATGCAGTGACCTAGACATCATCTAGTCCTGATATGTGCCTGGATTTTCATGTGTTTTAAAAGTTCCTGTTTCAATGTCTAATATGGTATAAGCCACATAACCAAACGCTGTTTGAGACTCTCAATAATTTTTGAGAGTATAGAAGATGCAAAAGTTTGAGAGGTGCCGGTTCAAATACTTAAAAAAAAGAAAGCTACACAAACTAAAACACTCCCTTTATTTTGACATGCTGAAACAACTCTGTAAGGCACTAATTCTTAGGTTGACTGGAAGTCTAACTGCCATTTAATCTTTGATCAACAAAATATACAAAAAGAAGTGAACAGAGAATGTGTGCTGGGTGATTCTAACTGGCTGGCACTACTCCAAGTGACTCACACGTACCACTTCATTTAATCCCCACAACCACCATGGCACAAATGCTATTATCACATCTTCTGTCTGTGGACACTGAGACATTAAGTGGCCAAGCTGAGAGGTATTGGAGCCTGCACACTAGCTCATCCCATTGTTCTAAGTGCCCTAACCTTTGATATCTTTCCAATGCAATTCACTTGATAAACTTGTTTTTTGAATTGTGGAGTCTAAGAAAGTAGTAAAAAGGGAAGTCATTCACTTGGCCCAATGCCTTCCCTTTATAGATGAGAAAAAATAAAGTCTAGAGAGGGGAAGTGCTAAAGATTCAGAATCTGCAAGGTAAGCAGGTGCTGGTGACTCACACCTGTAATCCTAACTACTCAGAAGGCAGAGATCAGGAGGATCACAGTTCAAAGCCAGCCCTGAGCAAATAAGTTGCAAGACCCTACCTCAAAAAAACCCATCACAAAAAAAAAAAAAAAAAGGATTGGTGGAGGGGCTCAAGCATTAAGAGCGCCTGCCTAGCACGCACAAGGCCTCCAGTGCCACCAAAAAAAAGAAAAAAATCTACGGGGTGCCGCATAGCAACATTCAGCAGTGAGCAACACCAAGACCAGGCAAGACACGGCTTCTCCATCAAAAGCAGCTCGACTTTATTGCAGGAAAGCTAGGAGGGCACGGGCAATGAGGGTCTCTGCAGGAGCTCCATTGCTGAGCAGCACTGTCAGGTCCCAGGTTTGTCTGGAAGCCACATCAGCATCCTAGAAGAGATGAAAAGTTAAGTGAAACACTGGCGCCACCTACTGTGGACATGGAAACATTGCAGGCACAGTAAAGGCTGCACAGGAGGCAGTGGAGGGGTGAAGTGGGAAACCAGGAGGAAAGAGCAGGATGACTGAGGCCCTCTTCTGGGGCACTCCATGGCTGCCTGGAGGATGTCCGGCCCATAGCCTCCATCATGTATCAGTTTATGATGGAAAGGCAATGAGCAAACTACAAGCAAATAATGTGCCAAGATGCACAAGGAGGGGGTGAATTCAAGAATGATATAGTTGATACACTGTAAGAACCTTTGTAAATGCCACAGTGTACCCCCACAACAATAAAGTAAAAACAAAAGATGAACAAGGTGACTTTATAACCAATAAAAGCTACCCTGTGATTTGGTCACTGGGGAGCCTCTTAAAACACAATATGAAATGGGCTAGGAGTATGGCTCAAGTGGTAGAGCACCTGCCTAGCAAGCACAAGGCCCTGAGTTCAAACCCCAGTACTGAGAAAAAAAAAAAAAGTTAAAGACAGGTGTCACCTGAGTGCTTGTTGGGTGACTATAATTGAGTCTGTGCATTGGAATCTCCTGAAGCACTACACATGGTTACTGAACTATGTACAGATAAAATTATGTGATAGGCTGGGCACCAGTGGTTCACGCCTGTAATCTTAGCTAAGTCAAGAGGCAGCAATCAGAAGGATTGTAGTAGAAAGCCAGCCTGAGCAAATAGTTTGAGAGACTCTATCTCAAAAATACCCAACACAAGAAAGGGCTGATGAGCAGAGTGCTGGTGGCTCACACTTGTAATCCTTAGCTACTCAAGAGGCAGAGATCAGGAAGATCACAGTTCAAAACCAGCCCAGGCAAATAGTTTGCAAGACCCTATCTTGAAAAACCCTACCACAAAAAATTGGGCTACTGGAGTGGCTCAGGGTGAAGGCCCTAAGTTCAAGCATCAGTATCGCCAAAAAAAAAAATTGTGTGATGGGTAGAATTCGCTTCAAAATAACTGAATGGGGAAGGGCACAGATAAAACAGTGATGGCAGAGATCTAATAACTACTGGATTTGTTGAGGGATACCGGGGATTCATTATTGCACTACTTAGAGATGTCTGAAACCTCCTCTAAGAAAAAGGTAATGTAAATAAAAACCACCAGGAGACTTGCTCAGCCATAGAAGCAATGAAGAACAGACAGAAGCTACAACTTGGCTGAACCTTGCAAACATTTTGCTGAGTGAAAGGTGGGCACAAGGTCACACATTGCATAATGCCTTTTATGTGAAATGTCCAGAATAGGCAAATTCCGAGTGGCTGCCAGAGGGCCGTGGGGAGTCAGTACTTCATGGGCATGGGGTGTGTTTCTAGAATGATGATAAGTTTTAAAACCAGACCTTGGTGGTGGCTGTACAATATTGTGTGCACAAAATGCCATTGGTGTATTTCGAAATGGTAAGATGCATGTCCTGTCCTTTTCACCTCCCTAAAAAAGCTGCTATGAGAAAACGACACAGGAAGCTATCCACGGTTTACAGATAGCCAGCACTACATTTCTAGTTTAAAAAGTTCACATACCCAGCCAGGTGCCGGTGGCTCATGTCTGAATCCTAGCTACTCAGAGGGCAGAGATCAGGAGGATTGTGGTTGCAAGCCAGCCTGGGGAAATAGTTCGCGGCAAATAGACCTGTCTTAAAAAAACCCATCACAAAAAAGGGCTGGCGGAGTGGCTCAAGGCATAGGTCCTGAGTTCAAACCTCAGTACAAAAAAAAGTTCACACCTCCAGGCCACATTTCCAGACCAAGATGTCTGCACTAGAGCTCCCCCGAGTAAACAGCTCAGCTCAGGAAGAGGATTTTTCCTCTTCCCTCCTATTCATTCCTGACAGAACGCGGTTGTCCTTTTTTTTTTTTTTTTGGTGGTACTGAGGATGGATCTCAGTGCCTCGTGCATGCTAGACAAACACACAACCACTGAGCTATATCCCTAGCTCCTCATGGAGGCTCAACATGAAACAGGGCTGTTTGGGAGAGATGGAGGCTGAGCTCCTCCTGCTCACCCTCCTCACAAAACCCCAAGGATGGGGAACACTGTTCCTCAATGTGGTGGAAACTGCTGGCATCTGATTCCCACAGGAATCCCCATAGTGAGGGGATTGCAAGGCAGGGAAGCAGAGTAGAGCTTGAGCCCATTTCACAGATGGGAGGACCAAATCCCAGGCATGCTGAACTTGCCAAAGTCACAGTGTGAAATGGGAGCATAGCTGAAATCTGAAACTCAGACTCCTCACTATCCATGCTGGCTCGTTCCTGAATGTGGGTTGTGCCCACAGATGGAAAGGGCACAAAGAAAACAATGTTCCTGATGTTTTTGGACTTGATACACAGAATGTGTGACTCGGGCTCCAAATGCTCACCTGTAGGAAGTAAGAAAGCTGCATTCACAAGGGGGTCTCAGGACCCCCAGTGATCACAGCTGGTCTCTTAGCCTAAGGAACTATCCGTGGGCCCACTGAAGCTCCAATTCAGGATGCCTGACTTTCTTCCTGCTTCTGCGCTTAACTGTGTGAGGCTCTGCTCAAGTTACTTCCCTTCTCCAGGCCTCACTTTTCTCCATTACAGGGAGAGCACCGGACCAAATCAGGGAAGTGACTGATTGTAATTTGCCAATCAAATGAATGACAGGGGCAGTGGTGGCAAGCACTACCCTACTGAGACATGCTGAGTGGCACAATAACACTTCCTGACCCTTTGGGTTATGTAAAATCGAAGATCTGGCTTAGGTGTGCTATTGTTTTTGCGCTAATCTGTGCAGAGGGCACAGTCAGGAGGGTGACAGCAGTCCCATGTGGGGAGAAAGGCAGAGTCTGAATTAACTTGAGCATAGGAGTGTGAGGTCCAGGGTGCAGGTATGAACTCTGATTGGCTGACTGCTCAGGGTCATGCACTTTAAACTTAAACCCCATGTAATGCACCCCTCAAGTCTAAAGGGAATTCTGCGAATATAACATCCTGTCTGCTCAAAGGGGGCTGTAAAGGTTGCTTGCCCTTGTGATTTTCATTAGATAATAATGAAGCACTCCAAAGAAGGTAGACAGGGTGAGAAATAAATCAGGGTGCTCCCCTCTCCCACTCAAGCTCTAAAGGCTGACTAAAAATCCAAACTCCGGGATGCTCCAAAACAGCAGACCTTTTGAGTGATGACACAATGGTCAAAAAGGTTTGGCTTTTGGATTTTTGTATTACAGGTGCTCAACTGGTAAAGCCTATGCAAATATTCTGAAACCTGGGAAATTAAAATCTGAAGTGCGTCTGGTCCCTGGGATTTTAGATAAGGGATACTCAGCCTGTGCTGCCCTGGAAAGAACTATGAGCAGTAGGATTGCTCAAGTGCTGGAGCCTCACCCACCTGCCCTCTGCACTCCGTCCTGCAGGCCAGGGTCCAGGCCCATGCTACTTGGGACCAAGGTAGGAAACGGTCTTTCCTGTTTTGTTCAGGGTTGCCAGCAGGGTGTCCATGCTGTGCTCAGACTTGATGCAAACTTTCTTGTTGGGCAGGTCGATGTTAAACTCAACTCCTGCAGGAAGAGGAAATGGGGCGTGAGGCAGGAAGCAGAGACCCTCCCATATACAGCAAGAAAGACATCAGGCTCCTAAATTATTCATAATCACCCTGCCCCTTCCTCAAGGCCAGGATCAGCAAACTTGTTTTGTATAGGGAGAGTTTTAGGCATTGTGAGCCACACACAGAATCTGCTCCACATTGTATGCACGTTGCTAAGGATAGGACTCAGGGCCTTGTGCATGCTAGGCAGGCACTCTATCACTGAGCTATGTCCTCAACCCTCTGTGTATTTTTGTTGCTTTTTCTTCTTAAGACAGGGTCTCACTATAGTTTGGGTTTTGTTTTGTTTTGTCTTATTGTGGTGCTGGCGCTCTAACTCAGGGCCTTGTGCTTGCTAGACAGGCACTCAACCACTTAAGCCACACCTCCCTCAGAGTCTCACCATGTAACCCAGGCTGGCTTCAAACTCACGATTCTCTTGCTTCTGCCTTCTGTATATGATTAATGACAATCTTTTAAAAATGAATAAACCATTCTTAGCTGTTTAGAAAAAAAAGGGAAAAAAGGTGTTGGGCTGGATTTGGCCCACAAGCTGAAGTTTGCTAATTCCTATTCTAGCTAAGGCTTCTTTTGGCTTGAACTCAGGGCCTACACCTTGAGTCATATCTTTAGCCCTTGTTTGTGTGTGTGTGGTTGTTTTATTTTGGTGAGGCTGGGGTTTGAACTCAGGGCTTTAAGCTTGCAAAGCAGGCACTCTCCTGCTTGAGCCACACCTCAAATCCATTTTGCTCTGGTTATTTTGGAGGTAGGGTCTTGCAAACTATTTGCCCAGGCTGGCCTTGATCTTCCCGATCTTAGCCACTCAACTAGCTAGGATTACAGGAGTGAGTCACTGGAGCCTGGCTTGTGCTGGTTATTTTTGATAGGGTCTTGCTTTAAGCCTGGGATGGCCTGGACCACAATCTCCTATCTCCTATCGCATAGCTAAGATGACAGGCACATGCCCAGTCATTGGTTGAGATGGGGTCTTGCTAACTTTTGCCTAGGTTGGTCTCAAACCTCAAGCCTCCTGATCTCTGCCTCCCATGTAGATAGGACTACAGGCTTGAGCCACTGTGTCCAACCTTCTTATCTGAATTTTAAAAATTCAGTGTTGTAGGTCAAACCCAGGATCTCACACACATGGGTTCTACCCGAGTTTTACCTCCCAAATTCTACAGACTTCCGTGGTGTGGATGCACCAAACAGCTACTTCATTACTCAATCCTCTGTTGGAGGACATTAGGTTGCTTCTTTTTCACTGCTATCACAATGATGCTACAGTAAACATACTTGAACCTTCTTAGCAAACTTGTGCAAATATTTCCATAGCATGAGTTCACAGAATGGAACTGTTGGGCAACAGATCGGCATATATTGAATGTTAACAGATTTCACAAAACTGCCCTCCTTTACTCTCTAGCCCTACCAAAAACCACCCAAACAACAACAAAACCAGTGCCCTACCGTAAAGCTATGCTGTTTCAAAGCTCCAGCAGCACATGGGAGGACCTAGAAAGTCTTATTGACAAAAGAATGCAGAGGGAAAAGTCCTTTGGGGACTAGGCCAGCTTCACTACTGACTTGCTAGGTGACTATGGTCAGGTCCTGCCTATTACAGGCCTCAGATCCCTCATCTTTACATGAAGGGGCTGGGGTTGGTCAGCCTCAATGGTTTTTCTGGCCCAAGTATACCTTTCATCTGATTCCTCAGGCCCAGCATTGCTTTTCTAGGGCCCTAAGCAACTCAGAAAACCTTCTGACCTTTCTCAACAGACCAGCCAAGTAAGGACAATAGAGAGATGGGGAAAAACCACCAAAGGTAAAGTCAGATCCTCAAGCACCAGTCAAGGGGCCGTAAGCACAATACAGGGGTGTAGTCACCACCCCTGAATCTGTATGTAATGGACACCAAGGGAGGAAAAGTGCTATGTGGCCTTGCTACACTTTAGGTTTTTGTATCTTCATTCAGAAAATTTTGTCTGTGGTGTTGGGGATCAAACCCAGGGCCTTGTGCATGCTAGGCAAGTGCTCTACCACTGAGCTACACCCCCCCCCCCAGTCTGGATAAATAAATATTTTCTTAGAAATAAATATTTCAGTAGCATCAAGAGCTGGAAGAAACTCTGGGATCACTGAATACAGTGGATTTCAAACTGTGTTTCTTGACACCTAGGCTGGAGGGGTGGGAGTCCAATAATGTCCTTGAGCTATCAAGAAGGAAAAGTAGACCCACCCCCAGCTTGTTCCATAGCATGTGACTGTGTATATGAGTGTACAGTTTCCTTTTTTCTTTTGCTTTTTTGTGTAGGTGGGGATGAAACCCAGCTTCATGCATGTTAGGCAAGTGCTCTACTACTGAGCTACACCTCCAGTTTCGGAGTTTCTTTCTTTTTTTTTTTTTTGCAGTACTGGGGTTTGAACTCAGGGTCTACACCTTGAGCCATTCCACCAGCCTTTTTTTGTGATGGGTTTTTTTGAGATAGGGTCTCTGGAACTATTTGCTCAGACTGGCCTTGAATCATGATCTTCCTGATCTCTGCCTCCTGAGTAGCTAGGATTACAGGCGTGAGCCACCGGCACCTGGTTCAGAATTTCATTTTTAAGTATCCACACCAAAAGGTGACTGACATTGTCATACTACTCACAGGGAAACCCAAGTTCTAGGAGGAAGGACCATGGTCATGTGGCAAGTCAGCAGTCAGGTTCTTTCCAGGGTTTCCGATTCTTTCAACTTGAGATTCTAGTTTGCAGGACTCCAAGCCAGCCACTGACTCACTGTGAGACTCTAGACAAGTCACTTCCTCTCCCGGGCACTAGCATCAACATCCCCATTCCATAAATGTAAAATTCCACTCTGAGGATGACTGATGTGGGAGCCATCTGAAAACTGGGTGTTTTCATTATTCCATTTAAAAAAAAGAAAATGTTACAAGACTGAGCCCTGGCAAAGCAGAACTCTGATCACAACTAGGTTATCACCTCATTGAGCCGTAAGGTTGGACCCTAGCCTTCTCTGGGCTCTGTTTCTCCAGCTGTGACATGGGGACTGGGTGAGAATGATTTTCTGAGTATGTCCAAAAAAGGGGCTTTGAGAGGTTTGCATACAACTGATTCCAAATTAATTTTCTAAACAGTTACCATTTTAGGGCCAGGGGTGTAGCTCAGTGGTAGACCACTTGCCTAGTATTCAGGAGATCTATCCCCAACAGTACAAAAACAAACAAACAAAAACCCACAAATTATTATTATTTAAAAAAAGTCTTAGTGGAAAATGACATACATGTTATACAGCCAGGTTGTCACACTGGAGATCACAAACATATTAACTAACACTACCAGGGCTCCAGAGCTAGACTGTGTGCCAAATACCAGCTCTGCTTCTTACTGGCTCCACAGTTCAGGCCAAGTGACTGAACCCCTCTGCATTTGAGTTCCCTCCTGTTTAAAATGAAGATAGTCAAACAAGCTACCTGAAATTGCCATAGTAAGGATTCAGTGATGTGATCCACTTCTACCACTAGGCAGAGTTCTCAGTGCACATTAAGTGTTCAATACATTTCAGTTTTACTGTCCCTATCACGCTAAACTGAAGCTTCCCCTGCTCTGCTGCAGGCATTTGGACATGACATCAGTATACCTGCCTCTCCATCCCACCCCCAACTGAGGGCCACACTCACCTCCCAGCTTGTTGAGGACTCGAGAGACAGCTTCGGCACAGCCTTCACAGGTCATCTCCACGGAGAACTCGTGCTTCTGAAAGAGAAGGATGTAAGCCAAGCCCTGCAGTGACCCACATGCTGTGCCAGGGGCCACACAGAGGGCAGAGACTTGGGGGCCTGTTTCTGAGCTCCAGTCTTTTCTACTGTAAAGTGACAGAACTAAAGGTTTCCATATCTCAAAAGTGGCACTAAATAAGATAATCCTCAAAGCAGAATCTGGCATGCAATGAATAGGTTCATTTAGCTAGTTTCAAAGGTTTTTCCCAGTCATACCTTCAAATTATGGGGGCTCTGTCTCAGGACCACCAAGAACTCTAGCAGATATGGGGCCCCAAACTCAGGCCCATTCATTCATTAATTTTCTTTTCTCTCTCTCTCTCTTTTTTTTTTGGTTGGTACTAGGGTTTGAACTCAGGGCCTATACCCTGAGCCACCTCACCAGCCCTTTTTTGTGATGGGTTTTCAAACTATTCGCCTGGGCTTGCTTTGAACCACTATCCTCCTGATCTCAGCCTTCTGAATAGCTAGGATTACAGGCATGAGCCACTGGCACCCAGCTCATAATTTTGTTCTTTTTTTTGTGTGTGTGGTACTGGGGCTTGCACTCAGGGCCTTCACTTTGAGCCACTCAAGCCCTATTTTTGTGAAGGGTTTTTCAAGATAGGGTCTCACAGAACCATTTGCTAGGGCTGGCTTCGAACCTCAATCCTCCTGATCTCTGCCTCCTGAGATCACGATTACGGGCATGAGCCACCAGTGCCTGGCCATAATTTTGTTCTTAATGGCTGACTAAAATGCTACTGTGAATACATACCACATTTTCTTTATCCATTCATTGGTTGATGGGCAGGCACCTAGGCTGATTCCATAATTGGGTGTTGTGAATAGTGCCCCAATAAAAGCATGGGTGTGCAGGTATCTCTACTGTATGCTGACCTTGATTCCTTCAGGTACATAACTAGAAGTGGTATAGCAGGATCACACTATTTTTAGTTTCCTGAGGAACCTCTATACTGATTTCCACAGTGCCTAAATGGCAAGACTAACTTACCATCAATAGTGCATAAGAGCTCCTTTTTTAGCCAGGCCTGGTGACTCACATCTGTAATCTCAGCACTTAGAAGGTAGAGGCAGGAGGATCCTTGAGTGGGAGGCCAGACTGGGCTGTATAGTGCACAGCAAAAACCTATCTCCAAAAAAAGGAAAAGAAACATTTTCTGCATTAGAATCACTTGGAAGTTTACAAAGACTACAAGTTCTCATCTTGTAGCATCTACTACTATGTCTGGTGGCATCCCAGGTGATTCTGATATGTGGTGACTACTGTTCTCATCCAACCACCTCATTTTCAAAGGCAGCACTTGAGTCCAGGGCAGGAAACGGATTTGCCAGGCAGAGTGAGTTGGAGGTTGGGCAGGAAGAGACCCCGGGCTCCTGGACATCCTACAATCTCCAGGATATCTAACAAATCAAGGGTCTGCAGGCAAGTTCTCACAAGATGGTTTCCTGCTGCAATCCTAAAACCGCAACAGTGCCTGGCACAGTAGCTACCTGTATATCTTATGAGTGAATGGATGATTGGCACAGCTGGTTGACAACTTCTGGGTCCTTTTCTTTGTTTACAGATAAGGATTACGTATACTAACACTTCTTACCTTTAAAAATCTCTGGAAATGAGAATATATGGGGTCAGATGGATCTGGCTTCAGATATGAACTCTGGCACTTACTAACTATACCACCATAACTAACTTAATGACTTTGTGCTTGGTATCCATGTCTGCAAATCACAGTCCCTTCTCCAGGATGGTGAATGAGATAGACACAGGATTTTAAGCATGGCAGGAAGCATTCATGATGGCCTCAATCATCTCTGCCTCCTGGTATTTATGCTCTTAAGCAGTTCCATTGCACAATGTCCCAGGGTTGATCTATATGTCCAATAGAAAAATTCAGCTGAGGAAATATGACTTCTGAGCCTATCACAATGTCCTAAGAGACACAGTAGCTTCTGCCTTCCTTTCTTTATAGGATCACTCATGCTACAGGAAGGCAGCTACCATGTTATATGATCACTAAAGAAACTATTTGGAAAGGTCCACATGGTGACAAACTGGATCCTCCATGTAACAGCCATGTTAAGCCTTCAGAGGACTGTAGCCTCAGACAACAACCTCACTGCAATGCCAAGAGTCCCTGAGCCTGAACCACCCAGCTAAGCTGCTCCTAGTCTTGACTCTCAGAAACTTGATGAGTAATGTTTGTTGTTTAAAACTGCTATGTTGTAAGATAATTACCAAAGAGCAACAGGTAACTAATACATTAAAGACATTAGAGCCTAGTGCTAGGTTCTTCTGGATAAAAAGTTCACTATTGGATTATTTTGATTACCTTCATCCATTTCACTCTTTTCTTTCCCTTCAAAAACAAACAAACAACATCTAGGGCTGGAGATGTGGCTCGAGCAGTAGACTGCATACCTCACAAGCATGAAGCCCCAAGTTCAAACTCCAGTACCACCAAAACAAAACTAAACAAAACAAAACTTTGGGTTTTGGAGCATTGCAGATTTCAAATTTTCAGATTAGGGATACATAACTTGTAACTCAGTTGGAATTCTGGACTTATCAATGTATCTTGATGAAAGACCTCAGGTAGAAAACCTACCAACAGACCCCAATTACCTTATGGATACCAAAAGGTTTTAGTCAACCCAATTTTCCCAACAGTGTAAGAATCATGAAAGTGAAGGTTTCCAGAGACCTGCCTCTGCCAGCTCTGTGGAAATGGAGGGGCCTTAGCCTCTCCATTTTTTTTTCTTTTATTATTCATATGTGCATACAAGGCTTGGGTCATTTCTCCCCCCCTACCCCCACCCCCTCCCTTACCACCCACTCCGGCCACTCCCTCTCCCCTCCACTCCCTCAATACCCAGCAGAAACTATTTTGCCCTTATTTCTAATTTTGTTGTAGAGAGAGTATAAGCAATAATAGGAAGGAACAAGGGTTTTTGCTGGTTGAGATAAGAATAGCTATAAAGTGAGTTGACTCACATTAATTTCCTGTGTGTGTGTGTTACGTTCTAGGTTAATTCTTTTTGATCTCACCTTTTCTCTAGTTCCTGGTCCCCTTTTCCTAGTGGCTTCAGTTGCTTTTAAGGTATCTGCTTTGGTTTCTCCGCATTAAGGGCAACAAATGCTAGTTAATTTTTTAGGTGTCTTACCTATCCTCACCCCTCCCTTGTGTGCTCTCGCTTTTATCATGTACTCAAAGTCCAATCCCCTTGTTGTGTTTGCCCTTGATCTAATGTCCACATATGAGGGAGAACATACGACTTTTGTAGACTCTCCATTTTTAACCTTGTGGGGACAGATAGGAGCAAAACTATACACCTGAGAAAAATGGGTCCCAGTAGCTTCTGGAACACTTCCCAAGTCTCTAGACACCTTTCAGTATAGATTATCATGCTCTACAGAGGAAACTGATACCAACTAAGATTTCAGCTTGGTTTTCTAGTGCTGGACTATTTAACTTTTATGACTAGGAGACTACTACTTTTATTGAGGCAAAATTTGTAAAACCTGCCTTAAAGTCAGGTGTGGTTGTACATTTCTATAATACCAGCACTCAGGAGGCTGAGATAGGAGGATCATTAGTGAATTCAAGGCCAACCTGGACTATTGAGACCTTGTTTGAAAAAACAAACAAGGGGACTGGAGGTATGGCACAAGTGGTAGAATGCCTGCTTTGTAAGTGCAAAGCCCTGAGTTCAAACCCCAATACCACCAAAAAAGAAAAGTTGAAAAAACCAAATGAGGGCTGGCAAATAGCTCAAGTGGTAGAGCCTTGTAAGCATAAGGACCTGAGTGCAAACCCAAGTTCTGCCCCCCAAAAAAGAAAACACCAAACAAAAGCAAATAAATTCTGGAAGGAAAGATTGGTAGTGGGTATCCCAAAATCTTGTGTTCAAAGCTGGTCTTGGGACTGGGGCATAGCTCAAAGGCATGAGGCCCTGAGTTCAAGCTCTAGTATTGCCGTAAATAAATAAATAAATAAAGTGTTGTCCTAAGCATCAACATCACCTAACACCGTGAAGAATTTAGAATTGCAGATCCTCATGTCTACCCCAGACTTTTTTTGGAAGGGGCCAGGCTTCATGCTTACTAGGCAGGCACTCTACCTCTTGAGTCACTTTGCTAGCCCTTTTTGTGTTGGGTATTTTCAAGATAGGATCTCAAGGACTACTTACCCAGACTGGTTTTGAATGTTGATCCTCCTGATCTCTGCCTCAGTAACTAGGATTACAGGCATAAGACACCAGTGCCCAGCTCACCCCAGACTTCTTGAATTGGTCTTTATTTTAACAAGATACCCTAGTTGATCTTGCTAACATTACAGTTTGAGATGATGCTCTACAACATAACCTGCCTGCAACCTGGTTTTACAAATAAAGTTCTGTTGGCTCATAGCCAAGCTTGTTTCATCACCTTTGCACTAGACAGACCATATCGTTTGTGAAACCTCAAGTATATACTATCTCGTCCTTTAGAAAATTTGCCGAGTCTTGCCCTAGAAAAACCAGCAATCAAGATTCATCAATGATTTGCAACTGTATGTTGAACAAGCTTTGAAGCTTTTACATAAGAGCTAAACCTACTGCATGGCTACTGTGTATCAAATTCTCTTTATAAAGTATCATTCCAGCCTGAAAAGGGAGCTATTCATTTTATTTTACTCAGGAGGAAAGCTAAGTTCCCAAGGGTTCACTAAGGTCCTTGACAGTCACAAGTGAGGAAGCACTGAGGAGGGGATGTCAACTCAGGCTTTCTTCATGCCAGGGAAATCTTGCTGGTATAACCCTGACCTTTCAGAGGAAGCTCTGAAAAGAGGAACACCTTTAGTAAAGAGCACAAGTTTTTGCTGTTCAAAGATCTAAAGTCAACAGATACTAGGCCCGACGCCGGTGGCTCACAGCTATAATCCTAGCTACTCAGAAGGCAGATATCAGGAGGATCGAAGTTCAAAGCCAGCTCCAGGCAAATAGTTTGCAAGACTCTATCTCGAAAATACCTAACATAAAAAAGAGCTGGTGGCGTGGCTCAAGTGGTAGAGTGCCTGCCTAGCAAGTGTGAGGCCCTGAGTTCAAGTCCCAGTACCGCCAATAAATGAATAAGGTCAATAGATACTGCTGACTACTCCTTTCACCATCCACTGTACAAAGGTCAGAAGTAGAAAGCAGCTTATGAAAGCAGGCCAATATTACAATTCCATGCTGGCCTTGGAGTGGCCTAATGGGCACGCTCATCCATTCCTAACAGGAGAATCTCAAGACCCTCTCTCCCACCAGATGCTTGACTTTGGGCAGTCCCAGCCCTTCTTGACAAAGAGCCTCTGCTTTGTCACATATCATATAGGTCCTTTAAAACAGATTTAGAAAACTGTACAATTCTTGCTTGGGCTGTGGCTCAAGTGGCAGAGCACTGGCCTGGCAAGCACAAGGGCCTGAATTCAAACCCCAGTATCACCAAAAAAGAAAAAGGAAAAAAAAAAAATAGCTAGAACAAATATGAAAGTTGTATAGTTTTTAAAAAGAACTGTGTAGTTTTTAAAAAGAAGGGTGAGATGGAAGAGGGTCACTTTGTCCAGTCCCCTCTAAAGAAGGAATTCTTTTTCAGATATCCAGGATATTGGATCCTAGAACATCTAGCACCAATCCATGAGTACCTACTTTGTGTCAAGTGTTATCCTAAACACTTTATGTGCAGTATCTGATCTAATTTTCATACCGATCCCATAAGGTTGGTATTATTATCCTTTCTTGACAATGAGGAAGCTGAGATTTCAGGGTTAGATCACTCACTCAGGGTGATACAACTCATAAGTAGCAGGGCCTGGGCTGGACACAGTCACCTGCACCTCAATGTTTAACCACTGAGGTCCTTGTTAAGATGGGGCTGAAACCTGGCTACCTATAGTTGTATCCCATTTCTCCTTTCATTGGATCCCTAGGGGAATGGGGCACTACCATTCTTGGGGATTAGATAGGTTAGGTTGGTGGCTATGCTATATTTCACTGGCATTTTCCCAGTTAATACTAACGACAGTCCTGGGAGGTCAGTTTTTAGCCCTATTTTACACACAAATAAATGAAGGCACAGATTGGTGAAACACCTGGCCTGAGGCCACCCAGCTGGCAAGCCAGAACAGATTTTCAGAGGTTTCTGGGATTCCAAACCCTGTCCTGTTAAGCTTTTGTCTGAAACTCCTCTCAGGTAACCCACTCTTCCCCATCCAGCTTTGAATTACTCTCCTCCCTTCAACTCTGCCAACTGCATTCTCCATTCTCAATCTGCTCAATGTCCCCAGAAGTGGACATAGCATAGAGTGGTCCTCAAGCTGCCTTTCCCTCACTGCTACCCCCCCACAAAAACCCTGCTGGGGTTTACTCTTCTAGTCTCAGGGTGATTAATATTCTCCTTTAACACCAACACAGGAGGGATTGCTCAACTGGTAGGGCTGATTCTATCAGGT